CAACCTGGTTTAGTGGAAGATGTCTCTGCAAATGGCAGGGCGGGTTGGAACTAGATAATTTTTAAGGTGTCTTCCAATCCAAACTATTCTATGATTCAAATTTTAATTAGCCAAACTATACAGTCATTTAGAGAGTAATTCAGAGTTGGTGAGTTACTTAGAAGCTGGTAAAACATAGAATCATAGAATAGAGTTGGAAAGGACCTTAAGATCATCTAATTCCAACCCCCCTGCCATGGTCAGGGACACCTCACACTAAACCATGTCACCCAAGGCTCTGTCCAACCTGGCCTTGAACACCGCCAGGGATGGAGCATTCACAGCTTCCCTGGGCAACCCATTCCAGTGCCTCACCACCCTTACAGTAAAGAACTTCCTCCTTATAGCCGATCTAAACTTCCCTTGTTTAAGTTTTAACCCGTTACCCCTTGTCCTATCACTACAGTCCCTAATGAATAGTCCCTCTCCAGCATCCTTATAAGCCTCTTTCAGATACTGGAAGGCTGTGCATGCAGCCTTCTCTTCTCCAGGCTGAACAGCCCCAACTTTCTCAGCCTGTCTTCATGCAGGAGGTGCTCCAGTCCCCTCATCATCCTCATGGCCCTTCTCTGGACTTGTTTCAACAGTTCCATGTCCTTTTTATGTTGAGGACACCAGAACTGCACACAATACTCCAGGTGAGGTCTCACAAGAGCAGAGTGAAGCGGCAGGATCACCTCCTTCGACCTGCTGGTCATGCTCCTTTTGATGCAGCCCAGGATACAGTTGGCTTTCTGGGTTGCAAACACACACTGCCGGCTCATATTCCTTTTCTCATCAACCAACACCCCCAAGTCCTTCTCTGCAGGGCTGCGCTGAATCTCTTCTCTGCCCAACCCGTAGCTGTGCCTGGGATTGCTCTGACCCAAGTGTAGGACCTTGCAGTTGTCGTGATTAAACTTCATGAGGTTGGCATCAGCCCACCTCACAAGCATGTCAAGGTCCCTCTGGATGGCATTCCTTCCCTCCAGTGTATCAACCGAACCACACAGCTTGGTGTCATCGGCAAACTTGCTGAGGGCGCACTCAATCCCACTGTCCATGTCAGCGACAAAGATGTTAAACAAGACCGGTCCCAACACCGATCCGTGAGGGACACCACTCGTTACTGGTCTCCAGCCGGGCATTGAGCCATTGACCACAACTCTTTGTGTGTGGCCATCCAGCCAGTTCTTTATCCACCGTGTGGTCCATCCATCAAATTGATGTCTCCTTTCTTATTAAAAAAAAAAAGTAATTTAAGATTCAATTCTTTGCATTTCACCTTGTGTACTTTGCAATCCAGGAAATAACTGTTGAGTTTCTATTGGTTTGAATGTTTGCAACTAAAAAGGAAAATTGAGGCACTTCCGCAATATATGCTCTGTTTAAAAACACAGCTATTGAATTCTGAGATTTCAAAATATTGCACGGATACTGTGTACTGTAATACAAAAAGTAAGATAAAGCTTTAGAAAAGACCACAGAGTAAACGTGCTTGGAGAAGTCAGATGACAGGATAGGTCCCTTTGTTCCTAAGCAGGAAGATGGATAGAGAAAAAAAATCAGCATAGTGCGGGGTCTGGGCATTGTAAAGCATGGTGCAGATAATGTGTAACATGAAACTGTTTCATTTGTATTCTCTGAGAAATCCAGAGGTAATCAAAACTGTTAACACAATGAGTTTTGTTAAATTTATTAGGGAAAAAAAGAGTAAGAGTCCTTAGGACTGCTTTGAAGTCTTGCTCACACACAGTATAGCATCATGATAGCTATCAGATATAATTGGGACAAAAGGGACTTTGATCTTCTTGTCTTTCCAGAGTGGACCACCTTTTGAGGCAGGATCTCAGTTCTAGCTAACAAATGTTTAGAGAAGGGATTAGCTTCAAATTCATTTCCAGATTGTGCTTTCTTGTTTCAGACTTTCTTATTTCAACGCATTGTAACTGTGTTGGCAGTTTTGTAATTGAAGACCTAACTCTTTGCTAAAATAAAATGTATAGTTTTCTGCTTTGGCTGCACAACAATTTTATGAAGAAACCATTGTTAGAGAAACATATGACTGAGAGAAACATAATATATGACTGATGATGTAGCAGAATCTCTCCTGTATACAAGAGCTGAAATACCTGTCTGACACATTTTATGTCCGCTGTCAGTGTACTGTATGCAAAACTCAGCAAAATTGATTTTCACATTCTCAGCACTTATGCTCAAGGTTGTATCTGTCACAAACGGTCTGCTGTTACCTTTTGTATCACAGAGTGAGTTTTCATTTATTCCAATGTATGAGAAATGTTTGCTTTCCTTTTTGATGCATTAAAATACTCAAGTAATGACCTGCCACTCGTATAAATTATATTCCACTACAAGAAGGCTTTCCAAAATTCTTGCCAATGGAAACTCAGGTACTAGTGGCCTTAGGAAAAGTTTTGGGCTTTGTACTGCTCTGTGGGCATCCATGGAGTTGATACTCCATCTCATCAGCATCTTACCCTTCAAATTCAGAACTACAAACTCACGCACCTGTGCTTACCGCAATTTGTTGATGGGTGGTAGCTGCCAGTGTGAAAAAAGTTTTGGGTGCGCACTTCAAATGGTCTTGCTACTGCTTGTGCTGTATATCTGTCAAATTGAGCCCTTCAGTACTATGTTGAGTTAATTCAATGTTTAAACATTCTACCTTGATGCCAATGAATTCTGAATATCCCTAGGATTACCAGAAGTTATATGTGTATGCAGAGAGGTTTATTGGAGTACACCTCTTTCTGAAGATGTCCCTTGATACCACTTCTGGTAGCTGATCTGTTTTGGTTTTTTTTTTCTCCTCAGCATGTTTCTTTACCCTAGTCACTTCTTCCATCATATGTTGTGAGGGTCATCTGAGATTTATTTTCAACTACCAATACCACTGGATTTTGTAAAGGATTGTTTACTCCTCCAGATAAAGTTATTTGAAATTAAGTTTGAAATCTAGTGTCATGGCCTGTTAATGTGTTCAACTGCTTATTACATTTTAAGTAGCAATTTGTTGAGAAAGAAGTGATATAACACCATCTCTATCTTTTCAGCTGAGGAATCAAAGCACCTTTTCCACAGATAATGCAGAAACTCTATAGCATTCATTTCTCTCTCCTATGACTGTGAAAAAAGTCACCAAATACAAACATAAGCAATGCTCTGCTTATCTTTCATTTTTTCTAGATTGTTCCGAAAGTATAAATCTGCAGGAATGGCTGGTCTCCTTTAGTCATTTAAATGAAGTGATGAATGCTGAAAATGTAAGTGTGGGTGATAACTATGTGGTTACTGATCAAAGCAACTAGAGAGAGTGCAAGTTCGGTAATGACTCAGATCATTTTTTGTTATAAAGTCCCCAGGAGCCTTGGACTTAATCATACAAGATAATTGTGCTTTGAACACATGTAAACTAACCCTGTGTTGTCCATTTTTACCTTTTCTTCACATGCACCTAGTAGTTCATTAAAAAGATAAGTGAAGGTCTAGACTTCATGATTGTAAAGGTCTTTTCCAATACTGTATGTTCCTCATTTTTCTGTTTCTTTCCCCTGAGAAATTTTTCTCCTTTTTCTTTTCACTTTAGAAGAGGGACTGGAGGTTACACACACCCCAGTCTGACCTAACTGTGCTCTTTTGGTTCTTTGTAGGTTTTTTGCTTTTAAGACAGAAGATTTGTTTGTGACTATTATGCTAAACAAAGAAGGTGCTCCTCTCCAGTTTTGCACCCATTATAGAACATTGGCTACAGAGAGAAATTTAAATACAGTGAGCATGTCAGTCTTAGCTTTGTCCCCTGGGACTCTGGAAGAAAGCATGCTTTCTGTACTATGCACAGCTTGTCAGATTTTAAAATCTGAAAAAGTATTGTCATTATCAAAGATGAGATAAAAAACAAGCAAAGTATGCTATTCATAATAATCATTATGGTGTATCCTAACACATATTCTCCAATGAAAGCACACTTCTGTAGTAAGTATGCTTTGATGAAGTTGGATATATTTTTAGAGGTGTTGTAGAAGCCAGTGTCCTGCTAAAGTGTTTCAAAGGCAGGTTGTTGTTTTTAACAATATCCTATTTAAAGCAGTTGATTCCTTACCAGATGAGCTGTAAGTGCATCTATTTTGATAGTTACATACATGTAACACCAAAATGCTGTCACTGCATTTCCAAATACTATTGGAGTGTACTTGCTCAATAGCTGGACCTGAAAAATCCCTTAAGTCAGTCATATGCGAAGCTTGAAATCTGTACATCTACTTGGTTCATAGTTACAAACTCAGGGTGTGAGAAAGCAACTGCAACCTAGCATGTGTGGTTTTTCATGGTTTCTACTACAGCTAACATAGGGAAAAATCCTGTTGGATAGTGAGCTGTGGTACTGCATGCCTGCCCATGGGTCTCTTTTCATTGCCCAGGTTCCTGGGGTGGTAGTGCTCACCAGGGTACAGTGATTTGGTGTGCTGTGGCAAGTTGTAATTGTGTCAGTCCACTGACAGCTTCAAGTTTGGAAGGACAATCATCATCTGCATATTCTGCTGAGATGTGTTTTTTATTGTGATGCAATGGGTCATGTTCACACTTCCAGCTATGCAATCAAAAATTAAACATATAGTTGTCTAGCACATTGCTTGGAGTTGCAGCTGATAGCCATGGCAGAGTTGCATTTACTCCGAGTTCCAGATGAACACTGTAAAATAATGAAGGCAGCTTTTTAGTCAGAGCCATAGAGTATATTTACTATCAAACATCTGAATTACAAAGGAGCAAATTGCCTACTATTTCATTTTAAGCAAAATAATCATAGTGGTCAGCATATAATTTTTCATGTATTTATTTTAGACTTTTAGAAAATACAGCATGTCTATGATCTTAAATATAATAGTAAAAAACACAAACCAAAAACAATCAAAACAACACAACACAATTTCAGAAAACTCAGAACTCTGTGTGTTTTTTTTTTCTGGACAATGAGTGTAGAAATTAAGCCAGGATATTCTGATGGGTTTTATAACTTTGGGATTAGAGAATAAAGGACAGCATTAATTCCTGATACGATTCCTTTAGTTTTTGACCAAATTGATCTATGCTTGCTTCTAGCATGTATCCTCAATTAATCCTTCCATAAAGAAAAACAAAACTAGTTTTAATGCGGGAGCAGTTTGGAATAGGCATTTCCATTTTCTTCCCTGCCTGCAGAGCTACAACTGCTGTGATTGCTGTGACCTGGGTAATGGCTGTTGCTTAGTCTTTTTCATGAGTTATGGAAAGTAAGTGATAGTACTTGGGGTTTTTTTTTTTCCTTCATGAATTTTTCCTGCCTTTCTCAGGCAGTTGGAGTTATTCATGTGAGCTGTAGGCTGCATATTATTGCCAACTTTCACACTCTATCCAATTTCTTACTACACCTGGTTAGGGAAGAGTTAAGTCAGACATAGATTTATCAGAGATAAATGAAATTTTAGGTGTCCAAATACTACAAGGAGAGAGACACTCATCTTTCTTTACCAAATCTAGGAGGAGTCTAAGGTAACCAAGTTCTCACTTTTTAGGCTGGATCTTGGAATTTGTCACAAGCATCTAAAAAGTGATCTGTGAATAGCTTTTTGGATAATGACCTGTCTATCATCCCAGATACACCTACTGTTGATTCAAGGAAAAAAAAAATTAATCTTATCTCAGAGTAACTAATTTTTCCTTGTTTGATGCAATGGCCAGAAATAACTGGTTCCAGCTCCTTTCCTTATACATTTTCTGAGACAATGAATTCACATCTATCCATCTATCTCTGGAGAGGCTTCTTCCTCAGTATGGCTTTCCACTCCTTTTTGGGAATCCTTGCACTTTTTTTTTTTTTTTTTTAACATGAGAAATAATTTTAAAAGTGGCTAACATAATACTTCAGAACCTCTGCCAGAGGAAGTGGTTGTTGCAGTTTGCAAACTGAGAGGGGATGAAAAGAAGTTGACCAGTCAACTTCTCTGTTCATTGGTGACCTGTATTTCAAGGGGGGGGATTGAACTTCTGTTTGGAGCTAACTTATAATTATTGGTATCTAATGAGCCTGTACTTAAACCCCTACCCCAACCTAACCAAAACCTGCTTGAAATGAAATTTAAAAAATAAGAAAAGGGCAGGAGAAAATGGCTTTATCAGATATCACGCAAATGACAAACCTGTAGTCAGACAGCTCAGATTCTGTAGCCTTAATGGATTTCTGGCAGAAGCCAAGAGTAATAATTAAAGTAAAAACCTTAAAGTAATTTTTTTTTCCAGTCTGTTTAAACACAGACTGCTATTTCAAATGTCTGTAAATAAAAAAAGCAGAAAGCAGAGCACATTTAATTTGGGAGTTGAGGATTATTGTTCTGCAGTATGCTCCACTGCATGCAGTCTTCAAAGCTAATTCATATCCCACACTCTTTTTGTCAGCAAATCAGTACATATTTATATCAGTTTTTAGATTTAACTAGTATTTGTTCCTTTAAAACCATTTCTTGTAATGCCATAGGAATGGCACTGCAGTCATTTATGTTTCTGTAGAACATGTCTTTGATAGTCTCAAGTGTAAAACTACAACAGGAATACTGGTTTTTGAAAGAGGAATTAATGGCAGGAATGGGGATTGGATGGAAGAAATCAGGGAAACCTGCAAGTTCTGGTAGAGCTTTCTCAGATCTGATAGCGTGGAGAGTAACAGGTGCTGTGGCACTGGTAAAACGGTCTCTGACTTGATAGCCTGAAAATCAGCAGATGCTTCAACTTCATTCTTTCATGCTAGAAGAAAAGGGTGATCATATGTGGTGCTGGAGGCTGTCAGCTACTAGGTGAGTTCAGTAGACTTGCTCATTGAAGTAAAAGGTGGTAGAGCATCATTTAAACTATGCGTGTAACTCCACGAGTTTTGAAATAGAAGTATTCGTTGCACCGATGCAGTGCGGAGTTCTACATCAAGATCCCAGACTTTTAAAATTCATGAGGAAGTGACAATTTAGAACTTTCTTTAGAGGAGGAACAAATGTACAGAAAAACGAGGCTGTACAAGTGCTAGCAATTTTTATGATTTATCTGCCCTCCTCATATATGCATACTGAGATGGTCATTGTCCTGAGTCGTTGTAGTGAGATGTAACGTTACATCAATACTATAATTAGGAAGGAAAATTAAAGTCTTTTAAATACCAAAAAAATTGTCTTACAACAGATAGTGTTGTTATTTTAAATTCTGATAGTTTTCTTGCAACTAGAATCTGGAAACAGCTGTTTGCTGTATGCTTAAATAGGTAGAGTTTGTGGATGTTTGGTGAACTTAGATCCCACCTGACCTCGATGGGTTCACACGAAAAAGTCATGAACCTGTCACAGATCCCAGACAGAATATCGCTGATTGTTCACGACTGAGTACTGAACTTCAGGTAAGTGTGATTTGAAGTGGCAGGATTACATTTGGGATCGGGGGGGGGGGGGGGGGGGGGGGGGGCAGCTTTTTTCATGGCAGCTGTATGAAGCTGATCAGAAGTGTGAAGTGTTCAAAGTAGTCCCAGCAGATACGTATTATTGGAAAAATGCAAGTGAGGTGGGCAGAGCTGCCTGACAGATTGCAAAACCATACTGTAAGTTATACTGATCACATGCATATGGCCCCAATATAAGTAACGTTTATTTGTGTGCAGAGATTTATCCTCCACACCACCTTTTTTGTAGCAAAATTCAGAGCAGTGAATTAGGAATGCTACAATCAGATATAAAAGGATTTAGAACTGTTTAGGTGGCTGGGCCAACAGCTGGCAAACACAGTTCACTGTGGAAAAATGTAAAATAATTAGTCTGGGAGCAAGAAATTGAAGGAAACACAGTGTATGCTGCAATGGAACAATCATTCAGCACACTGATGAGGAAAAGGATTTGAAGGTTATTGTGGAAAAATCATTGAAACCGTGAGGCTTGTGCACAGCTGCAAGAAAGTAAGTTACTAGGTTGTATCAGAGGGATAAAATACAAAATCAGGGGCGATAGAGTTACAGGAGTGTTAGGCTCCATCTGGAATACTGTATGTAGCATTGGTCACCATGCTGCACAAGGAAGATATTGTCTGGAAAAGAGCACAAAAGCAGTAACAAAGGTAAATATTTTATGTGTGAAGATGTGGGAAGATGATCTAGTAAAACAGATACATATATCCTTTACTTTGTACAAGATTAAAAATTAGGAGTGATTGTAGAAATGGAGAAATAGAAATGGGCAACTTAGAACTGCATGGAAGGACTGATAAGGATCTGGAATAAATTATTTCAGAAAGTCTCTTGGTATATATAGCATACATAAATTCTGTAGATTTCATGACGAGAATTAAAGGGAATGACAATCCATGATAAATCTGTGATTGAGTTTTAAATTTGAAGGCAGGCACACTAAGCTGTTTCCCTTCCCTCTCCTCTTAGAGGTTTGCAGCTAGGATGACCATAGTTTTCATATTTACTACAGCTTGTAACTGGGAGGGGGGCACACAGTTTGTAGCTAAGAATTATGCTTCTGTGTCTGCTAAGAATGCTTCTAAGTACATTGAGGAGTACCCAAATTGTTCACACTGTGTATTAGGAATAACATGTTCATTCTGCCTGTGCTTTTCTGTATTTCAAAGTCCTGCAATTACAAGTTAAGGCTGACTTTCTAGTGTCTCTGTAATGCCATTACAGGATAATGGTGCGCTTACACAGCATGCCACAGGGTTGGAAAAGTGTTTTAGAGTGTTTGCTGCGTCATCAAACTTAGTTCTTCCATTGAAAAAAAATTGGGGGAGAGAAAGCCAAGCATATTAAAGAATATGGCATTCAGAGTTTATGTAAGTGGTAAAATTATAGTTAAGATGAGAAAATATGCTAAAGCAATTAAACTATTTTAAGTAATAAAACTTGTTTTTTATGGATTGAGCACTTGGCTGGGTGGGATGCTTAGCTCTTTTTTTTTTTGGGGGGGGGGGGGGTGGGTGGTTGGTTTGTTTGTTGGTTTTTTTCTTTTTTCCTTAATTCCTAGCTAGCTGTTGCAGGAGCAGTAAGAGAGCATGTGAATAATAGATAACCCCATGCACTTCAGTTCAGTGGAGAAAATTGCTCTGCAGATTTGAATTTAGCTATCTGCATCTTTGGATCTAAACCAGATGCAGCAGGTTAGGGGATTAATGTCTGAGAAAGCAGCCTGTCAAATTCAGTGTAACTTGTTAACTTCTCCTGGGAACCTTTTCAGTTTTGATACCCTACTTTGAAAATTTTGAAGTGGTTTGGTCCCAGCTGTTTCTCTGTTGTCACATGGCCATGGCAATGAGAACAGTTCTGCTGTAGTCTGTGTTCAGTGCGCTGGGGCCATTTCTCAAGTCTTCTGTGGAGGCATACAATAGAGCCCAGCACTCAGTATTTGATACTGTGATTCTAGGTTGATACTCATGAGACTGGAGCATCTTTTAGAGGAGAGACTGTGGGAGCTGGGCCTGTTTAGAGAAGACTGAGAGGGGATTTCATTAATACATACAAGTATCTCAAAGCTGAGTGCCAGGAGGATGGTGCCAGACTCTTTTCCAATGATGCCCAGTGACAAGACGAGGAGCAGTGGCCATAACCAAAGACACAAGAAGTTTTGTCTCAACGTGAGGAAGAACTTCTCTATGTTAAGGCTGGCAGAGCCCTGGAACAGGCTGCCCAGGAGTCTCTTTCTCTGGAAACATTCAAAACCTGCCTGGATGTGTTCCTGTGTAACCTGATCTAGGTGGCCCTGCCTTGGCAAAGGAGTTGTACCCAATGATCTCCAGGGGTCCCTTCCAACCCAGACAATTCTGTGATTTACATAACTTTAGATACCTAACTGAGGAAGTTGGTCTTTAAGTCACTCTGGCATAAGTGGGAAGGAGCAGTCTTCAGCTTCTCCTTCTCTCTGCAGTTTGATACCAAAAATTTATTGTTATTAACACCCCTCCCAATTTGTGTTTGAATTCTGGAACAAATCAAAGTCAAAGATATAATTCTTTGATAATTAAATAAAAGAAGATCTGTTCTTCAGTCATACTGCTTTTGACCCACTTTTGATAATGTCACTTCAGATTGTTTCCAAGAATTAGAGAAGGGTGGCATACATAATTGTTAGACTCAGGTCAGAAAAGCTTCAGATGTTACCTTAAAGACTGTTTGGCAATCATAAAACTGCTCTAACTGGATCCACAAGATCAATGAAGCGTGAGAAAGTAGATCAGTTTTGAGTAAACCCATGTATAGTTTAATTTGAAATGTGCAGCTGCAGTTTTGCAGAAAACAAAATATAAAAAGCACAATGCTTTTATTCAGCTTGAAGTGAAAGCATTTTTTCCAGCTATCAATTTACAGCTTAAGATAATGGATTTTGGCAGAGTGCAGAGCTATTAAGTAATGTTTATTAAAATGGATAAGAAAGGATTTGAGAGGTGGCCTGTAAGAGAGATTTTTTAAAGGACTGGTTAGTAGAATAAAGAAATAGCATTTTCTTCTAGAAGTTTTATGTCCCTTTCATTTATGTCCTTTATAGGTCATTAATGAAGAAAATTGTGGTGATATCATCTTATTATTTAGTACAGTTTGTGAAGTGGTATGGAAACTTACAGAGTTTTTTTCACCTCTACTGTAAGGCTGAAAACCTTAAGCTTGTAAAACATTTATCCCAAAGAGAGAAATGACCAACTATATCTAAGTTTGCCTCAGTCACAAAACTACCATATAATTTGACATGAACTTGACATTCCCAGGGTCTATTGTCCATTGTGCAGTTCTTCACAATAGGCAATAGATGTGTGAAGCTCCATGCCAAAAGTCATTAAAGCCACTACAAGTTTGCATGGACTCAAGGAGATGCTGGGCAAGTGCCAGAAAGTGATATAACCAAGAATTCTCAAATACATAGAAACCACATCCAGCTCAGGATGTCCCTCAGCTCAAAATAGATTAATACTGAGAGAATATTTTTATTCCTTCCTAAGCATTTGCTTATGGCCAGTTCTTGAATTGATGCAGACACACTGCTCTTGCACTTTTAGTATAATGTCTGACTCATTCAGATGCTCTAACCTTGCAGCCACAGAACCATAATGAAGGAGAAGGGATATTGGATGAGGTGGACCTTTGGTCTGACCCAGTGCAGTCATTCATCCATTCTTCTGAGACCATCTCTGACCAAATTTGGGAAGATATTTAAATGTTTTCTAAATACTTTCAAGAGAGGGCTAGACATATCTGTGGGTTCCGCTCTGAGCGTGAGCTTACAGTGTATGTGTAAGTCTTAACAGTGTATGTGTGCATATTTTTGTTTTTCTGAATAGAAATGCTTTTGGAGTCTATATCTGCTAAGAGGTCACAGAATTGAAATATTCCAAATGGAAGGTCAAAGCTTTGGAGCACTACAGAGCCTTGGACACAGGGATGTCTTGGCACTTTTTCTGCAGTTAGAAGCAGGGTATAACTACTTTAAATGAATATTTTATAATAATAAGCTTTAATATCATATAATGTCATATATATAATCCAAAGATTTCTCTATTTAGAATAATCTAAATATTACTGAGTTTACCAACTGACACTTATGTGGGCTGACTTCTTTTAAGTCTATTCTGCATGAGCAATAAAAATATTAAGACATGATGACATTCAAGGTAGGTATGGAGTTTAGGCACCCCTGTAGGCGTCTTTGCAATAGGGGGTACCCTGGGACCCCATTCTTCACTGCAGATGTTCCCCAAAGATCACCTAAGTGGAGGTAATGGCAAGGAGAGTTTGAGCTTGGCTGAGCACATGCCCTAGATGCAGTGGAGACCAAAGAAATGTGCATTTCTCTTCCATTGTCTTTCAAAATGAGTAAGGTGTTTCCTAAGCACAGTGAGGACAACCCTGTAAATAGTATCTACCCATCTCATTACTGGCTTCAGTGCTACAGATCCAGAATGAATCTGGTTTTTATGGATGATGGTTAGTGCTAGCTAAACATCAACTCACCAGTTTGTGCTTTCAAGTTGTTACATTATAGTGGTGGCTAATGAATCTTCTCCAGCAGATAGGGGAAAATTTACTTGCGTAATTTTAGGTACTACTGTAAACATTTACAAATCAGCAGACTATCTTTGAAAAATGTAGGCATGCTTGAGATCTTAGGATGTCTGAGAACTTTTATTTCATTAAGAGAAAAGAGGTTGGACAAATACAGCATTAATTTGACTCAGTCTGATTTTTACACAATGTCATCCGTCTTGAATTAAATGCTGTAGTCAAATTATTTCACAAAAGAAGTCTGAGATAAAGATAATCTTAAAAACTTTGAAGAGGAGGAGAAGAGAGAGTTGCATCAGATAGAGTTCTGGACCTCCCAAAGAAATGTAATTTTTGTGCTAATAGCACAGTCTGCTTCCAAGAATATGGCAGCTTTGATAAATGAAGCAACACTGATAACCACTGAGGTCTTGAAACAGAAAATCACCAGATGCTTGATGACCTGCTTAAATGGTACAACCTCTACAAAAGCTGTTTAAGGTGCAGCCAGGATTACTGAAAACAACTTTATCTGTGGTACAGAGGAATGTAGCACAGAAAAATGGATGACCTACCAGGTACGGGTTTCTGCTAGATTGAGATGCTGCAGAGAAGAAAATCTAGTGTTGCATTGTGACCTTGCAGTTGTGCTGAAGGTGCAGCAGTGATGGGCTTCAAAGGGAGGATTGAGAAAACATACTTGAACTTTCATTATAGAAGGAAAGTTCAAAATTAGAGAATGGAATTTATAAACACAATAAAAAATGAAGGGTCGTTACAACTCTGCTGTAATCAGGAATACACTGGTTTTACACTCAGTAATGGCTCCAATTAAAATAAATGTCAGTGTTACCTTATTCAGCATTTCATACTGAATTAATTTCAACTTTCAGCATAACTGTTACTGAAACTACTGAATGTAAAAGGGATCTTTTGAACTTCTGTGGAGTAAATCTAATATCCTGGACAGTTACCTTCTTGACATCCACTTTAGAGGTAGTAAGACATTATCCCATTGCAAAGAAAGTGTGTGTATAAATTAATTTAATGAATTCTGGCTTCTGTTACTTTCTGCTGGTGTCCTTTACTTTGTCTCATCTGTTTAGTTTTCTGTATTTTTTTTTTCTGTTAGAGGCTGTCAGAAACTGATCTTAGAAGTTATAATCTACACAGCGATGTGCTGGAACTTTTAAGATCAATCTTGCCAATATTGCGAACTTAAAGTATTACGGAAATCTGATTAAATAATGGTGCTTAGTTCAAAGCAAATATGTCAATATTTAATAATAAATATGGTTTTAATAATAAATATGTTCTAGGAAAAAATGTTGATTGCAATGTTTAATTAGTCAATGGGAATACCAGAATTTAGATTAAACTTTCAGTATGATTTATGTTTTTCTGAACAAGTGGCACGGCAGAACTAACTCTCTCTTTATCCAGTCTTTCCATGTGTAATCTTTGTGTCAAATGAAAGTGCTTTAGAAGAAAAATTCTGTGTAGGTAGAAAGTTTAAAAAAATAAGCAAGTCTGAAAAATATGCCTGGTCATTGGAAAATAAATATAGTGTGTTTAGGACATTCAGGTTTAAACACATAACATTGTCACAAGATCAGTGACTCCTACAGAAAACAAATCATGTGTTTAGACAAAGTCAGCAGCTTTATGGAGAAATAAATATAATTTTACAACTTAATTACAGTATAAACATTTCTTGTGGTAGCAAATACTTTGTTGTTATTGTTGTATTAATCTTACAGGACATATGGATGTTTGTTTCAGTATCTCCTGGGACCTGCTAAATCCTCTGAGCATAACTCTGGCCGCTGTTGTAAAGAGCCAAACTTTTTAGCCATTTTTCATCTTTGTGGCTAAACCTTTAATAAATAAATTTTAAAAACAGAAAAAGAAATGAAGGCTTTAAAGAGATTCTGTTTTCTTTCTTTTACATGTTATTCTCTGATTAATTTATCACTGTGGAAGTTTTATCTCATAGTGTTAGTTCACTGTATTTAAAAGTGAAGAATTTCACACTTCCCAGATGCTGTTGAATCTTTGGGAGGGTTGGTGGTGGTAGGCTTTTCTATGGCAACCTAATCAGTTCACTCCCCATCACTTATGGCACCTTTTTAAGTACCAAGCTCTCTGAGAACTGAGAAAATGTCTTGTTGTAACATAGGTAATAATGAGGTTTAAAATCTGATAGACTTTTTGTACAGTACAGAACATATTGTGGCATATTCAGGTAAGTATTTCATGCTTATGTCTAACTTGGCATGTCTAACTTGGAAATTTTTGTTATAAAGGCTGGAGAAAAGAAAACTTTCTCCTCCAATCACCAACCCCTGAAAATTTAAATCTTCCGGGGGAGCAGTAATGTGATTAGCTCTGCATTGTTCACATTATCACAGAAGGGAATTCTGATTCTTTCTGAACACATTTTTCCTGTCTTTCCAGCAGTCTGTCACATCTAGGATTCTTATATATTCATTCTTAAGGGAATAATATTTTTTGACTGTTGCCTACTATTTGGGCTCTCCTTTATTTTAAACAGGGGTTTTGGGGTTTTTGTTGTTGGGTTTTGTTGGTTTTTTTTTTTACTTTCTGAGTGTTATAGCAAGTACTTGTGTAGTTGCATGCCCTCTTCTACTTTGATGTGTTACTGCAGACTCTAAAATTCCTAATTCCTTTATCAGTAAATGTTTTTATGTAACTTTGCTGTGTAAAGCACTGCTACCAGTGTACAACTGGTATGTACACTGGTATGATGTACAGTGACCATTGATACTGTTAAATACATGAGTGGATTAAAAGAAGTTCTTTAAAGCACCACTTTGTAGAGCAAGTGACCAAGGAATAATAAATTCAGGGCTCCTGTCTCAGCTGAGTACCAGCCAACAGAACATTCTTCAAAGATTCACTGCATTTTTTAACTGCTTCTTTATATTGAAGACTTCGAAAAGGAGATTATTGAAATGTGGATAAATTCGTAACAGCTACAAGTTTCTTTTAAAGTATTTGCAGACTGACTAAGTAAAAGAGAGACATTTAGAGAGACAGGTGACAGCTAGCATATATGATGCTTGCATATTTAAAATTGTAATCTTTTTTTTTTCTTTTCTCTGATAATGTAGTATAAGCATTTCTAAGCCTTACATAGGCATCCTGTTTGGCTTGGTTTGAGTTGTATTTACTTTTCTGTACAGTAACACAGTTCTTAGTCCAGGAAGATGAAATCACAGGGTATTTCTGTTTTAGGGGTGCACACAAGTAGTTATAGATTCATAGGTTTTGCCGCTGTGTGGTTGGTTTTGATCAGTGCCGTGTTAGCCAGCTCAACAGCTGCAGTGCAGGGTTTATTTCTTTGTAACGGATTCCCGGTGTTGCGATGAAAATTCCCTGGTAGGGCGAGTCCAAAGTACCTAGGTTAAAAATTAACAGGATTCACGTTTTAATGTATCTTTTGGCACACTGTTTCTGTGAGTGGTACGGAAATCTGAGGCTGTTTTATCTTCACTTCTGTGGAAGGCACCTTGCATTCCAGACACTGTTTAAAACATTTTGGATGCGCAAACATGTTAACAATAGTGCTTAAACAAGATTGGTACTCTGAAATGTGTTTCAAAAACATGCGAGTGGCAGTCTTCTCTGGTGACAGAGAAGCAGTTTCTTTCAGTGTTTCCCTTGAAGTGTATACATTGTAAAATACCGTGTGTAAAATACCATGTAATGCTTTTTCAGTAATGCTTTTGGCACATTGTTGCAAACATAGGTTATACAGGCCTATTGGAAGTGTGTGTAACCATTGGCAGAGGCACTTTGAAGTGGTTTTAAAAAGCTTGTAAGACCAATTCTGGTACATTTTGAGGAGATATTTTTTTTTTGTTTGGATTTTTTTCTTGATTAGTTAGTGTTTTGTTTAAGTTTGTAATCACTGAACTCCCTACTATCTTAATTCCCATTCCACTGCATTTACTGCCTCTTGTTTAGGCCTTATACAGATTATAGTAGCCATCTTCTTTCTGGTCGCATTTATATATGGACATGGATATATCTCAAAGTGTGCAACCATTAAATGCTTTTTCTCCTGCCTTTACAGTTGTTACAGGATCAAGTACTATGACAGTAAAAGCTTTCAGAGCTGTAAATCATCAGGTAAATATATAGCACAGTGCAGCCGGCATGAGTTGGGCTGCAGAAATTCTGGTTTGGAGTTGCACTTCTCAGACTCTGACATACATAGTCCTGTTTTGAAAGGCATGCAATTAAACTGAACTGCCATGTAATAAATTGGATTGTCTCTTGATAGTTCAGAACAGATCAAGTAGAGCTACTATCTAAGTTACCCAAACAAAGTAAGAAGCGATTTGAAAAGAGCATATAATTTCCTTCTACAACACAAGCCCACATGAGAGGTAAACTCCTATTAACTTGAAAAGCCTAAAAGATCTGCAAGTCCAGGGTAAGCAAAAAGTTCAGATGGCTAGAGCCTCTCCAAGTTCCTCCTGAGAAGATGTGCTGACAGACACTCCGTACATCATTTGAATTGAAAAACAGGAGGAAAAATAAAGATAATACAGCATTTCAGGAGTGTGGCCAGCAGGTCAAGGCAGGTGATTCTCCCCATCTGTCCAATTCTTGTGGGATCCCCCCTGCAGTACTGTGTTCAGCTCCAGGGCCCCCAACACAAGAGGGACATGGATCTGCTTGAGCAAGTCCAGAGGAGGACCACAAAGATGATCAAAGGGCTGGAGCACCACTTCTATGAAGACAGGCTGAGAGAGTTGAGCTTATTCAGTCTGGGGAAGAGAAGGCTCAGGGGAAACCTTAGAGCAGCCTTTCAGTACCTAAAAAGGGAGCCTACAGAAAAGATGGGGAAGAACTCTGTCAGGGAGTGTAGTGATAGGACAAAGGGTAAACTGTTCTAAGATAAACCATTCTATGATTTTAAAGGCAATTAATTAAGCACCATGTATTGTTTACATACTTGCACATAGCATCTTTCAAAAATATCTAGGTTTTAACTCTAAAGATAAATGTGTTCATGTCTTCGCATCTTAGTGATGGACTGAAAAAGATCAGTGAGAAGCAGGTCCAACACATTTTTCAATTAAGTCTGTTGCCTGTCAAATACAATAACAGTGTGATGAGCTTTCCTAGAGAGCTGTATGAACCCATTTCCTGGGAATGTTGTGTTTGAGTTGTCTGTGTGGTCCCCCCACTGCTACGTATGTATTTAGTACCTCTGCACCAGTGTGTTCAAGTGGCGTGTCAGCCTCAGCAGGAGAATGTGTAAGTAGGGCGGTGTGATAACTTGCAAGTTAAGGTGTAAATGTATGGTTTGTTAACTAAACTGGTTCTCTAGCTTGTTAGAGCTTGGACACCTTATTTGCCTTTGTTACATTGTTAGGGCAAATGTGTTAGTTTCTGACTTCTTTTTAAGTTTATGTTTAAAAGCAAGCTCTGCTAAGGCTGAAATTTGTAGAATTGAATAGTGTAATTAAAAAAAAAAACACCTTCTAAACCAAGACTTTTCTATATTATTCTTACATCTGGGTTAATTTTCCTTTCAGCATGGGTTCTAGTGACAGTGGAAGATGTGCTCTGTGTAAACCAGTTTAGTCCAAACTCAGTGAAATGCAAGGGGTGGGAGAAAAAAATTAAAATCAAAAATGTCAGGGGTTTAGATGCAAATAAACTGTTCAGCTGCTGCTTCAGACGTAACCATCACAAACTAGTACTAGCACAGCAGAGTTGTCTGACCAGCCATTTGAAAGAAAGAAGGGGAGGGGCACCTGTTAGTGCATAAAAAGGGCTTCATCTAATTTTGGAGTACCTATATTCAGCAGCATTAACAGTAGCCAAATATAAGGCTATTGCTTTTTCATTCTTCTCTTGTCCTTCTTTTAGCAGTCAGTTTTGCATCTCAGAAGTAGCTCCTGAGAAGGTATTTTAATCTTTTGTCCATTTCGTAGTTGGTGATTTTAGGGCTGTTACAGCTTTTTTATATAGTTTCACATAGAGTGGAGAAAGAAAAATTATATCGGGGGAAAAAATAACTGGAAAATGTAGACTATAAGCAGAAAAAAAATTAAGATCAAAACACCAGATTCTGTGCAAAGGCATAAAAAGTAAAATGAACAAAAGTGGAAGACAAAATTTTAACAGAATGGTAAAGTGTGTATGTGTATTTTAAGTCATTTCTGATTCATAATTAACTGCAAATATTTGAGTTTGTATACAAGTACTTACATTTTGACTGGATGCAAAATTTGCTTAGCAGTGTCACCAAGATCAGATCACAGGGATCAGCAGTGTTAGAGAAATCTCAGGTAAGTGTTATCAAGACTTTGTTTATGCAACCCTTAGTTTTTATTAATTAAAAAAAAAAAGAGTTACACTGAATATAAAGATTTTACTTGGCTTTAGCTTGCTATTTTTCATGCCCAAAAGATCAAAGCCAAATACTGAACACCATGAATTCGTTATTAGCATCCTAAATTATGAGACTGATAAACAGATTCATTACATCAAGCTGAAAATTAATTGTAAGACATAATGTTGTTGCCCTTATGCATCTCTCAGTGCAGGAAGCCAAGAAGGAAACAATAGTCTTCAGTAATGCTTAGAGACGCCAGTGGTTGCTTATCCCCTGATCCCTTGCCATGACAACTGCAGAGGAAAACATCCTTCTAGAGCTGTTTTCATGTCATTCAATTCTAATTTGCCATCAACTATGATAACTTTACCATGGGTATTATCAATTTGGCACTGGAGGCTTGACATAAAACCACAAAGGCAACTAAATTCCAAATTAATGCTGAAACTTCATTCTTAATTCACCGGGTTGTGTGGGGGAGCATGTGGGAATACCCAGCGTTTGAAGCCCCAG